AACTACTAGAGCTGTTTATATTAACGCATCAAAAGTACTCAAATTCAATTCTTGCTACTCCGGCATCAAAATGGTTGTTGGACATAAGCATTTTTTTGAACTAAAATATTAAAAGTTGACAACTTTTTATAGTTGTAGATATAACCTATGACGCTATGAATATTCGTATATTAGCGTACAATTACAGAATTGAATCATTGTCTCGATCCACCGATCGAATTTTCGTTAGATTTGAAACTACTACTAGCGTCATTGGGAGTAGAGCCATTTACATCCCTATGATTCTTGAGTTGTAACCTTAGAGGGGTAACACACTGTACTTATGTGCGACCGACCATAAAACATTATTATTCTTACATGTCAACATGTATACTTCCTTTGCTAGTATACAGCATAATGCAAGTCTCATTTTAAAGGTTATGCAGGAAATCTGGCAACATGGGCCATTCTCTATATATAGATCAATCGCATCCACCACATGCGCAACTGCGTTCACCTGTTACCCCATTAAACCTCCATCTGCACCCCCTACACAGTTTCTATAAACACATCGTATACCCGCACAGGACAATGTTGCCGCTTATTCCGCTATTTCATCGATACAATTTTGAAAACAAACTTTCTACCTTCCACCACAGATCTTTTCGCGCTATATATCATATAGATGATACAAATCAGGCTTGGCAAAGTTTTATGGAGAATTTTAGTATTGCTTGGAAAAAAACTTGCCCGTTAACAAAATTCGGAATAAACACCTGTAAGGAAAGTAGGAAATTAAAGACTTACATTGGTTCTGCTAAAATTGTAACAATGATGACTCCAAAAAAGCTTATAAATTAGCTAAATAACAATACAACAAGAAATGAAAACTAAAGAAACAACAGTTTTATAACAACCAAATGGCTTATTCTAGCAACTCGACAAAAAAATAGAGAACAGTAAATGTACAATAGGAAGATTAAAAATCAATAACCGAGTACCTGAAATTAACAGTGGTAGTACAATTCTGACAGACCAAAAAGAAATAGCTCATCATTTCTGTGACTATTTCTCCCCTGCTGCAGGTAACTTAATCATATCGAAATATGGTGGTGCCAGTTTTGGCAATCCTAGTATCCATAAGTCAGATAAACATATTAGATCCATGGCTGATGAGGTTCATAGAGCTATTCAAAAACTGATAAAATTAATCTACCGCAGGAATTGATGGGCTGCCACCTAAAACTCTCAAGTACTTGGCTACATATTTTATTCACCTGTCATTCACCGGTTTAATCTACTTTTAATCAATTGAGTTTTTCCTGAGGAACACAAATTATCTGGTTCTACCCATTCATAAGCTACGCTGAAGCTGTCGAAAATGACCGACCTATAACCTTGCCATATAATTTTCATAAGCTCTATCATCTACAACTGAATGCATAATTTTGCAGATGCTTACAATCTATACTAAGTGACATATAAATCCGAACACCCAGTTTAAATGGTTTTATTTTAATAAAATTTTGTATAAGTACTTAATGAAGCATAATAAGTAAATGATAAAAATTTCAAAATGATTGCACTACTTTAAAGCCCTTTGACCTTTAATAATGTGTGGATGCACCCTGATGTGCTACGCATTCTCCAACGCGCCTAGGCATGCTTCTAATCAAGTGGTCAATGTCCTCCTGTGGTATCTCATTCCAGGCAACCACCAACTCCTCTCGAAGTGCTTCTAGAGTCTGAGGAGGACGTTGCAAATTGAGCAATCTCCTACCCATCATATCCCACACGTGCTCAATTGGGGATAAGTCGGGAGATCTTGGTGGCCATGGTAACAATGTGACATCATTATGTTGAAAGAAGTCTATTGTGACTCTTGCAACATGTGGTCGGGCATTATCTTCTTGGAAAGTTGGATCTGCCAGGGTGTCAAGATAGGGTAAAAGATGGGGTTCTAGAACTTCGTGGATATAACGCTGCGCGTTCATGTTACCTCTGATGAAGATTAAAGGTGACCTGGAACCATAAGCTATAGCACCCCAAACCATAGCTCCAACAGTGTGATGAACATGTCTTTCAACAAAAAACTGTGGATTCCTCCTTTCACCACGTCGCCTTCTAACCCTGGCATGACCATCGTGCATGCCTAAACAAAATCGAGACTCGTCACTAAAGACAATACTGTTCCATTCCTGATCCCAAAGTGCCCGTTGTCTGCACCACTCAAGGCGATTACGTCGGTGTTCTCGAGTTAAAGGGAGGACCCAGTGTGGCCGGTATGAAAACAAGCCAAAACTTCTCATTCGTCGGTAAACACTTCGCATGCCAATAGGTCTTCCGTGTTCTGCAAACCATTCATTTGCAATGGACCTGGTAGTGGAGAAACGGCCCCTTAAGGCCAATAATCTTAGGCGGCGATCTTCACGGTCTGTTGTTCTACGGCGGCGTCCAGTGCCCCTTGCTCTTTGCGTACGGCCTTCTCGAAGCCATGCCTGACAACACCTAACCACAGTGTCTACACTTCTTTGCACTCTAACTGCAATTGCCCGAAAAGAAAGTCCAGCTTCCCGAAGTCCCACTATACGGCCCCTATCAAACTCACTAAGTTGACGAAATCGTACAGGTCTCCGTACTCTAGGCATCGTAACCGATCGTAAAGGATGTCAAGAACCAAAATCCGCCAACGTTGATTCTTTACTGCGGCTGAAATATTCATTTTTAGAGCGTTTGTGAATTAAAAAAAAGCAGTATAAAAACCGGAATGTCCAACTGATAAGGCTGAAAATTTTTTCACTTGTTATTTACAGTAAGATAAATACATTCACCAACTTTTATTAAAATAAAACCATTTAAACTGGGTGTTCGGATTTATATGTCACTTAGTATATTAACTAGTAAGCAACATGGGTTTAGACAAGGTTGCTCCACCAAATCAGCAGCTTTCTCTATTTTCTCCTTATTTATATTCAACTAGGTAGGAATACAATATATTTCGACCTGAGTGAGGCATTTGATCACGTGAAAACAAATTTATCAAAAAAAAAATTAGAAGAGTATGGATTTAGGTATTCAATAAATGACTGGGTTCAGTCCTTCATGTCACATCGCAAAATTTTAGGGTTGTGTCACCCCCCGCTCAGGGGGCTGCATGTGTTAACGTGATTTTTTGCCAAACTTGTGCCCCCCTCGAAAACAAAATCGACGGGTCTGAGCGTTTTTCCAACAAAAATGAGCTGGCAGTAAATGCGTGTTTCGTTTTCGATGCGCCACCCTGTATATTGAACAATGACTTATTCAATTCAAGTAAGGGTAGAAACAACAAAATTGTATTACCAAAATGGGAGCATTGCAAGAGTTACTACTGTTTAATGCGCTACATCCATACAAAAACGTTAAATATGTGGCTAAGTTGAAAATTTGATGTAAACTGTGATTTGCCGTAATCGCCATCGAGAAAATCGACCAGTTAGAAATGGAGCCGCAGAAATAGCAGTTTTGGGACACGTAGCACTTGACAACACCCAAAGCACACGTGTACTGGCTACTTCTTTAGGATTTCCCGCTAAACAGAACCAAGAATTTTTAAAGACACTAAATCTCACAAATAGGGGACCTTTTCGTTGGGTCACCCTGTATATCGCTAATTACAATCTAAGCACTTATCTTAAAAGTCTTGCGTATATGTGTGCCGCCATGTTCAATCAACTATGCAATAATATCAAAACCTTAGTTGCAATTAAGTCTTAAAACTCGAGAAAGCATTTTTGGTAGAATACTGTTATTATTCTATTAATGGCGTATCGGTTTTATCGTAACTTTGAGTTTCATTGTGCATAATCTTATCTTGTAATGATTACTGTAACATGTATTTTGACGTTTGATTGACGTATTGTCGTGTGATAATTGAAACTCATACATGCTGTTAGGCACACAAAACTTCGTTATTTTGATGAGTGTCATCTGTGATTATTTGTCAGAGCTATGCATCCCCTCTCCACAATAATAAGAAATCTACTCAGAAAAGGTTAACGTATCACAAATGGTGCTGCAGCCAACTGTGTGAGCATATAGTTGTCTACAGCGCCATCTATGAGATAAAAATATTTTCAAAGTAGAATACCATAGTTGGCTTTCTTCAGTTAGAATTCATTATACAACAACTGCACTATAAATGCACACTTATTTCTTCTCATCGAAATAACCAAGTACCGAGTGCCTAATAACGTGTATAAATTTCAATTATCTCATGACAGTACACGATTGGAGCATGCATTTAAAAAATGTATCATCCGATTATAGTAATAAAGAAAAGTTTAAGCACGTCTGACCTTTCTAAAGAGTTGAGCAGTTCATTAATTAAATTTATGATATATTTATATTACGCAATCGATCATTCACATACCGGGTTTCGCGATCAATACGACTTCATTACATACGGAGGACATTCACTATCAATTAGAGCTAACAAAAAATAGATAAAGTTCAAGAGACAGCGACAATTCAGGGGCATAAATGGCCCACCCTGTATTAGCTCTATCAATACTGTATATATTTTGAAATAATTTCCTGGCTTCCCCTGTATTTAAACGAACGCAAATAAAATGTTGCCTCGACTTTTGCGTATATTTCACAGAATTTTGACATCTGATTTGCCTATAATTGATAACTTTTTAGTGATAATTCAACATGACCCATTTCCCATTGTGGACAATAAATAAGTGTTCTAATGGAATTTTTAGTAGCATTTTCATGTATTTTTTAGCGGAGCAAGTTTCATTTGTTTTATCAATAATACCCATACATAAACAATAACAGTCCCAAATGTATATTAGGTTGAAATATTTCAGAAATAAAATAATCCCAACCTTGTTTTAAAACAACTCACTCAAATATCCCAAAGAATATTTAAAAATGTTGCATGAAAAAGGGGTAACTAATATAGAGAGTATATTCTGTATCAACTAATGTAAAATTACCACAACCTTAGAATGTGAATAATAATTTGAAAAACTAACCTCTAAGTGGTGGAAGCATCTCAAGCTCCTGGTTTCTTGATATGTTGAACCTACTCTGCCTTTTCTCTTTCTTCATGGCTACAGCTGAAGGTGGTCCTTTGGCTTTATTTACAGCATTCTGAAACGAAATAAAACTGCTTGATATAGTCGTTCTATTAGAACTAGCGAGCCCAAAAAAAAAATACCGAGAAAGAAGCAACTTACGAATGGTAATATAGATCGTAATTGCAGATTTTTTCAATCAAGCATACCAGCAAATTTTGTATGGACAAAATTCGTTTCTATAACATGCGGTGTCAAACTTGTTCGTCTTTAATAGTTTATCGGATATTTCTTGAAAACAGATTGAGATATATATTGAGTTACGATACTATCGATTGTTTTCTAAAGCACCTATATTAATGGTGTTCGTGTCGCCAAGTCTATGATTGGCGAAAAAACAGTAAGTAACTGTTCATGCAAACGATTGTTGTCAATATTTTAAAGCCAGATTGAGACTAAATAAAAATTTACTCTTGGAGCTTTTTTGTACAGAATAGGGATTGACCGATATCAATATGTATCTGTATATCGGCACTATCGGTTTAATCTGAAATTATACGAATCTGTCGATATGCCGATATAGGTCGACTGATACGAATCAGAAAGTTAATCTGGAGCAGAATTATTGAACTGAGAAAAAAATGGCGTCAAGCAGGTTGACTACACTTCCCACGCAATGCTGACATCATTTCATGCAGGATTATGTTTGGCCCAAGCTAGTCCTTTTGAGCTAGTTACAAACATGTACGAGCTCCTTCCCACTTCAGTTGGCCCACTTCAAGATTTGTACCAAAATATGCCTTTATAAACTAAACATGACGAAACTATTTACTTCTAAAACAATTTATTTTCTCAAAAACATTTTAGATATACTATAGTCGTAAAAAATACATATTTGAAATCAGACCTATAACTAATAGAACATCTGAACAAATAAACAATGTGCGAAAAAATGCGCGAAGTTAACAAAGCAACAATTGAAAGATTACCATTGGGCAACATCACCTTTATTTTTTATTACGGCTGAAATTCTTTGGGGCATAGTGTTAACCAAGTATTAGCAAAAATTCGGTGTAAAACAATCCCATATCTCTTAAAGCTTTTGTCTCAGTTCGGTGATTGTACGAGCAGGATGTTGTCGTAGAACCTTTTTCATCTTGTGCCACAAAGTTTCAATAGGTGACAGATCTGGACTGCTAGAAACCCACTAAACTATTTTAAATGTATTCTGACAGCTGTGATTAATAAAAACAATTGTCATGGCTTTTATTTTTCACAGCCACCTATGCGTTATAGACTTATTTTGCATTGAAATGAAAATAGGTTGATATGCTGTAATTGCAATATGTGTTACTTTTATGATGCAAATTTCATTAGGGAGTGATAAAGTTGGTGTTTTCTACTATATATTATCAATATATTCATTGTTAATATTTTAAACCTATAACACCCTGCTACATTTTTATTATTTCTGTTTGATAAGAAAAAAACTAAGATTTCAATAGTTGGACCAACTGAAGTGGGAAGGGGCTCGTATAACAAAAAAATTAAATAGATCAAGTCAGCCAAAGAGGCCCATATATAATTAGTATAAGCGCCAGCCACGATAATATAACATTGTTGCCGGTAATGCTGTCAGACGGAAGAGCGCGTATCCGTCTATAAATATATCTTCAAGTTATAAGGGCAAATGTCCGGGAAAATCTTTGTTGTGTAAAATATGTACGTGTATGTGTGCTTAAATTACTCATGTTGGAAGCGTGTGAATATACAGCCACCAACTAAATGAGATATACCTTCGCCCACACTCTACAATTCCCAACCTCCAATATTTTTCAAGTAAATGATCAGGAGCGTCAAATGTCAAAAAACAGTTTGAGCGAAGCAACTGAATGGGCAATATTTGTGACCCGGCCATATATCTCGAATATATCATTTTTGTGCTTTTTTGCATCATTTCTTCAATCGTAACTTGTTAACAAAGAATAGTAACCTCTAAAATTGTATGCGAGTATTCCACTTTTATGGAACAATTGATAGGGTGCTCACTCTTTTTCTTATTACATTCTCTCTTCCAAATCAATCTATCAATCAATTGCACTATAAAAATGGCATATCGACATACAATTTCATAGCTGAACTAATATTTGTTAACAAGTTACGATTGAACAAAAAATGCGTTTTTTAACAAAAAAATAGATAACATTGTTTTTAGTCATCCCTATAAACATCATGAAATGAAAAGGATTTAGAATACCGCCCACAGGCAGTTGAAAAAATGGACATCCGACCTTAACGGGAAATATCGGCACTTGATTTCATGTACTGTTTCATATTTTTTAGTTCTGAATCTACCTTCAAAGTTTCTTGACAAAATTATGTAGTATCCTGTGTATGATCCATTCTTATTTTTGTTGTTCTATAGCTTTTATGCCGACACTTTCACGCAATTTCACTAAAGTTTTGTTTCAGGTAGAATTACAGCAATTCCACAGTAATGTCAACCTGATAGTCAAAAACTGAAGCTTACCGTATATGATTGTTTGTGTCGGTATTCTACCCTATACGGGTTGAGTAATTATGTTTGCGTATGCGCTACACATTCCGCCAACCAGATGTCTGCACAGGAAGCTTCAAAGATAGAATTCCATATACACATCAACAATTTCTTCACGAATTTATTCGGATGGACATCCTCAAGGTCATCCCGACTTTGTTTTGCTGTGTTTGTATCAGTGGACAAATTCATGCATTATCTATCAGTACACAGCGCTACCACAGAACAAATTCTTGCTAGAAACATTTTGAGTTTTTATGTGCATTGTGGTTTTGATTTTGAAACGAATCTCATTTACAGACACCATAATGTTGAATACTGCAGTTCCCTCAAAGTTCTTTACATGCATTGAAAGTTGCTCAATATAATGGAAAGGAAAACAAGGTTGGCACCATGGAATTTAACGTCCAGCTTCGCAAAAATTAGAATACGTTCTAATTTCGTGAAGACATCCACGAAGAACTTTATGGATTTTTTTGTCGTCAAATTCCTGTTTAACACTTTTGAAATTTAGCTATAAACTCAATTCATGAAGAAATCCGTCGTTTTATTGTCAATGTAAAACGGTTATTATACTGCACTTAAAAACACATAGGGCGCACTATTAGAAATCTGATAGGGCTTGTAGTCCATATTTTCTTTATACTTCATCAAATTTCTTGAAAGGATCTAAGTTTCTTATTTGATAATATATTATTATTAAATTGGAAGGTTTATAGAATCTTGAATTTCTATGTCCGTCTGTAACATTTAGTATCATATCTCTGAAACGGGGTGGACCTGATTTTTCCAAGTTCGGATCCAAATTCTATGTGTTATAAGCAGCAATTAAGGTTACAGAATGTTTTTCGCTGACAAAAAATGACAAAAAAATGTCGCCTGGAATTGCTCGTACCACCTTATTTGTTGTACTGTTGACTGAAGCTGGATAAAAATAAACACTCAAGTTCAATCCATTCCTAAATAGTTGTTCCATAAAATACATAATCATGTTATGAATAATTCTATGAAGTTGCAGCATGCCGAGTTTCACTTGGAATTCCTCCAAATAACTCTGCTGGTGTATTTTTAATATGAATTTCGCGTTATTATTGCACGAGATCTGTTTACAATTGTAACCGCTATTCTATTTTGGATTTTATTATTCAAGTTTTGATGACCTACACTCCCGAAACATCATTAATTTTGGTAATTTGGACATGTGTCCTATGTAAGAGTCGTCATAGTGGCAATTATGCTGCCACAAAAACAAGCATTATAAAGTTAAACATTTTTAACTTCTATAAAGAACGATCGATTTTATATGCACTCGAAGTCAGGAACATTTCCTAAGTAAAAAAATGCATAACAGTTATTTTAGACTAACAATTTTAGCAAATATAATTGAAATGTTTGGTTTTTAACAATGCACGTGAATCAGAAGACCATTTAAAATGTGGGCGCATATATCGGGTAATTTTTATAACAAGGAGTGAGAAAGCTTTTTTTAAGACTCATTCAAAAGTGTTTGCATGAACGGAAAAATTCTTCAACTACGATTTTTATATAATTAAGGGACCTTCAAAATGAGGCTAGGGTAGCTATTTGAAGGTTTGAAATGATTTTCTTGAAGCCTCAGTAGGACCATTTTTTTCTGAGATACAGTGCTTCAAAGAATTGCTGGAAGTTTACATTTTTTGTTTGGTCACTTAATCTTTTCTGTACTAATTGTTGAATGGATTTGTGACATGGATATTGAATTTTTAACCTTGTAATTGACTTATGACCTATTATGGGAAATTAATTTTTTGTTATACTGTTATAATGCAAGATTCTTAAATATCCGAAGCTCCATTTGGTGTAGGAAAAAGTGCTTTTCAGTATCCACATACTGATATAGCTCATGAGAAAGCAGAATATTTTTGCATTTTTTTATTGTCCTATGTTTAAAAACATAATAATGGCCTTATTTTGTTGTTTATAAGTCATACATAAACTTACCTCTATTTCTCCAGTTTCACCATTGCTGGTTGGTTTACTTTTTGCATTCTCCTGAAGCAAAGAAAGGATATGTGAAAAACTATAAATTATAATTTACAAATGCAATTAAAATAATGGATCTTCTAAATGGGTAATATTTTAAGTATGGCCCAGCCATACATGTTGGGAAACACATATTTGACATTCCTGATCTTTTTTCATAGATTGCTGTCAGATTGCTTACTACCAGAATTCTACTGCCACAATGCATACAATTTCATCAGTCATTCTTGTCAGATCTTGTTGCCCTTCTGACGCAAAATTCTGATAAATGTATGTGACTGCACAATGCAGACAAAGCCAAGATATAGCGGATATAGCAGAGATATGTAGCCGGGCTACATGATTGCTGAGCTATAATTGCCAAAGATATAGAAAAATATGGCTACAAAAATATTGGCCATTTAGAGGCTCCAGAATCCAAACACAATACGAATAAATATGATTGTCCAAGTTTAAGAGGTTCACAAGGGTATTGAGGTTAGAAAAAAGTAGAATTTCAAACAGACAAGTCTTTTTTAAAACTAAACTAAATCGACAGCTAGCATCAAACCAGTTCTGCCATTTACATGTGAGGGGGGCATGTTTCCCTGAGAGTTTGGTTAACCCAAAGAATTTAGGTAGAAGGGCCAAGCCTATGATTTGTTTGTCTCAAAAACCTCCGGCTGCAGTCAGAATGAAAGTGCATACTACAGGTGGATTTGGCCTAAGTAAATTGTTTGACATTTCTGTGATTGAATCCATATTTTTAATGTTATTTTTTAAAAGTGTAAGTGTTTCCAGTTGATTGTAGTTTTCAAAGATTTCAGGACATGGTACTTCTTGAGTAATTTGCAAAGAGCAGCACAAGCCTAATCAAGTTAGATCTTTCCACCAGTGAGTATTATTATTATCATGTTGATAACATTGTAGCTTTGGTAAGCAATGGTAGTCAAATGAGTTAAAAGTATACACTAAAGCTACACAATTTTGACAACCACCAATGCACTGTAACTAATTAGACTTGGCTGTGTGTAATCTATTTGACTCCCTTAAGTTAACCCTTAAAATTTGCATATTTTATTTAGCATGTAGGTATTTTGAGGATTTTGAAAATTTGTCGTTGACAAGAAATTTTGATACCTCTCACTGTTCAAAAAGTTTTTGGAACAAACTTGCACAAAAATATGCCAAATGTCAAAATATCTCCTATTCACATAAAACTTTACTTGAGAAGGGGGGGGGGGGAGTAGTGCTTTGCAAGTGGCTAGCTGCCAACTGAAAAATTTATGGAATAACTCACTAATGTTATATTTTACCTACATCCAAATCATTGTTCTGTTTGAAAAAGGTACACATGACAACAGTTGAAAATATTGGAATCCATATGTCTTCTTGTCCAACTAACTTGTAAGACATTGGAACAAATTAACTGAAAAATCTAATAGCAAAGAAAGTTCCAAAGTAGATAAAATAAATGACACAGTTCATTAGATTTAAATTAACTCCAACTTGAATGCAGAGACATGGTTAATTGTTAAAACTACATGGCAAAATGCAGTAGGTATGCATTTTACAACTTGAGTAGAGATAAGTACGAACAAAAGACTGTTTCATAGAGATTCTGATTAATTAATAATAAAAAAGGCCTACTTTTGACATATTGCAAATAGGCACAAACTCTATGTGAAGGAACAGTTTCTTACCATTTATCTTGAGAATGGCTAGGCCGGGTGGTACTAGGGGAGAATCAACACGGATATTAACGATATCTTTAAAAAATATAAAGTTAGTTCAAACTGGAAACTATCTATTCTCTCTTCGGGTTCCGTTATAGCTAGTTTATGTGTACGTTTTATACAAGTCCATTTGTAGTCACTGACTTTACACCGCTTTTTACATATCACTCACTAAGCAAACTCCGAAATATCCTATTTATTATGCAGATGAGACATTCTTGTGTATAATTACTGGCTTTTATTTATTTTTGTTTAGTTTTTCGTAAAAAATCTGATAATTTTTACATATCAACCCGGTTTTCGGACATATTTGCTTAAAGCTGTTTTTTTGCATACGATGTTGCCATAGTTATGCCCACAAATTATGACGTTGCTGTTAGATGCACTTGTCTGTATATTTATTCCAGTATTTTGTTGATGAACTTACGCTCGCAAAGAAGCATGCATGAGCATGCACTAGTTTGTGCGTTTGAGAGTTCGTCAAAATTAAAAACTCGCCGAGCCTACAAATTAACCACTGCGTCTGTTATTTCTTTCACACGGTTCCACTGTGAAATATCAATTTAAACGAATCATCAAAAGTTGTTCATTTATTGATGTATCATGTAACCTTGTTTATTTCGTTGGGAAATTATTGTAAGGCTCCTAATGTGGTAATGCCCAATCCTGTCCTACACTTCTGTTCTGAATATGGAGTTTGAGGCTTGTTTTCAAAAATATTTTGATGACACTCGACAAGTTATTACAGTACCAATTTCTCTTCAGGAGCGGCTGAGTGCTCTTAACGCATTGTCACCCTTTTCTAAGATAGACATAATTTAACTGTTTTTTGAATTTTCCATTTCCATCTTATCATGATATATCTATAATCTGAGTAAAATAAGATCATATGGCAACGTAAATGTAGTATTTGATGTCTGACTTTTGAGAGACATCTTACGGAGAGAAGTATAAACTATATTATGACAGCTGAATACCTAAGGGAAAAAGATAAACTGCTGCGTTCCAGAGTTCTTCATTGTTACAGCTTACAAAAACGAATCCTAGATGGTGCCAAATATTTTCTGAGAGGGGTATCCCGTTAAATACAGTGCTGGATGTGAGGGGTGCGGGCTTAGGGCCCCCGCAGACTGCAGACTTCCTCTCGGCTCGGCGGATAGTTTAGTCGAGCTGGGCTGCTAGTGTGCACACCCAGCCAACTAAACAGTTTGGTTGGTGAAAAGCTAGATAGCCAACAGCCGACCGACCGACGCCGACTATTCCGTACGATACTAGTTTGTATCTGACTGTTGAAGTAAGCGGTCGCACAATGAAAATAAAAACAATATTATCCAGACATGCTATTAGTGCTCTCATACAATGGAGCAGAAAATCAAGAAGAGATTCCGAGAGTATTGGGAGCATCCCATTCTGATGCTGGAACCGCACGCTTGCCATTTGCCGAAAACTCCAAACTCCTACAAACGCTTGCCTTTTTTTTGAAGAAGCAAACGTCGCGGTCCACACGTTTGCGGGTGCGTCACTGAAAAGGCAACAGGCAAACATGACGGACGTCGAACTTGTGTCTGCCGTAGCATTTGGCTTAAGCTATTTTTATTATAAAACAAAAAAAAGTCAGAGTTTGCCACAAGCGTTTGTGACACATCCATACGTTTGTGATAGGTACTATTTTTGAAAGTAAATATCAATTTCATTAAAACAAATACCATTCACCTGGTACGATTCATATGAATATTTAACATCCACCACCTTCTTGGTCGTACTTTTCGTTTTGTCTGACTTTTTTTTTGGTTTTATAATAAAAACAGCTTAAGCCAAATGCTACCGCAGACACAAGTTCGACGTCCGTCATGTTTGCCTGTTGCCTTTTCAGTGACGCACCCGCAAACGTGTGGACGGCGACGTTTGCTTCTTCAAAAAAAAAAGGCAAGCGTTTGTAGGGGTTTGGAGTTTGTGGCAAATGGCAAGCGTGCGGTTCCAGCATTACACAATGCAGTCCATAATACTTGATTAGTAGAAAAATCACTACTGTCCGACGCCAAAGCTCGGAACGAACTTTAGTTACGAAACTCCCATTTAAGAGCCGTTTTACATACAAGAGAATTACTCCGAAAATTATGGTCATAATTATGCCGAAAATTTGCATGGAAAAAATATGATTTTCTCTACAACCTGTATGACACAAGCAAACAAAATTTCCGAGCAATTCATATGATAAGCCTGCGCATTAGAATAATATTTTCGAATGGACATAACCTTAACGGGTATGACGTCCAATATAATCGGAAAGACAACAGACGTCGTTGATTTAAATTAATTTTTGAAATCGGTTAATATTATGAAACTTCTCAATGCTTGGACTATCGTAACCAGCGCCTGACGCCGCAAATTGCTGTTTTTGTAATTTGGTGACTTCACCTTGTACAGGTTTGGCCATTTTTGGTACTCCTCCAACAACAGTGTAACTTCTTCCCGATTCCACGACATTATGAATAAACAAACAATAATCGTACGACTCGAACAGGACCACACCCACAAATGTTAAGTGAGATTATGTTGTTAACATTTGATAATGACATGCACGGAAATAACCCTCTACGCCGATTCTCGGGCATATTCTATAGAACGGGTTTTTTATTTTTACCATGAAAATTTTCACAAGAATTCTTTTAGGTGTAATACGGCAGCAAAAAGTTTTCGGTATAATTATAGCCATAATTTTCGGAGTAATTCTCTTGTGTGTAAAACAGCTCTTTAGCTATGCCATTTGGCGCTTTTATTGCAGTGTATGCCATCCAAACGAGTCTTTATGGGTGAAGCAGTGTTGCCAGAGCGAAGTTTAAAATATCCGTCACACGTATCGCAAAATTCCACTACATGCCGCTACGGTCTAAAAATTTAAGGGGGGGGAGGCTTAAAATAAACAACAAATATATTTTTTACATATTAACTTTTTTTTAAACACTGTCTAAAAACCCTACTAAAAATACAAACAGTAACATAATATAATTGCAATTTTTCGTTAAAACATAAAAAGTATACCTCTAAAAAAACAAAACTGTCTTTGGTTTAGAATTAGAAACTAATAAAAAAATAGAAACTATCACCAATATCTTAATCTTAATAGAAAAAAAAAATAAAAAATAAGGACAAAGAAGAAGCGGAAACGTGGAAATGCCTACGTTTGCTTATTTTATTCACAGTCAGAATCAGAAATTACTTCTTCTTCAGCTTGTTCTTCCTTATTTACATTATATAAATTCTTTTTATATTTGTTTAAATGATTCTCATTAAAACTATAGGATAAACAGCACTGTTTTTTTGATTCCAAGTCTAATTTAATTGTAAGTAGTGCAGACAAAGTTGATGGTATTATTTTATTTGTTTTTTTGTTTTGTAATCAAGCATATAAGAAAAAGTTCGCTCAACATCAGCGTTTCCATGAGGCAATGTTAAAATGATTAGAGCCAGTTTACCTATATTGCGAAATAAATATTCGTCATTAAAATTTTTGAGGTCGTTTACAAACGACCAAAATTCAATGACATTAGTTTTTGTTTTTAAAATTTCCTCTTTCTCACTATCACTAAAATAAATACATATTTTCTTGAGTTCCAAAATTGCCTTTTCGGTTTCAATATGAAGGGCAAATTTTTTTAAAACGGCGTCATGAAAGGTATCACTTATAATAAGACGATTGTTCATCACATCAACCGGTGAGAGAAACTTTAGCTCTGAAAAGAAGTTGTCTTTGATAGGAAATCTTTTAAGGGACTCTTCTACCGATTTTTGGTAAAATGTGACACATTTTAATTTAAATTGTTCGATTGCCGTGTTATTGCAGTGTTTTATTGCATCCATTGTATGCGAACCAACATTCACTTGTTCAATTGGTAATAAGCAGTGGGGATCATTAGGATTTAGATTATATAATTTCTCATTTTTAAAATATTCTGGTCGCATAAAGTTTGTACATAGATGACGTACAAATCGCTCACTCTCTATTGATATGATATTGAGCATAACTTTCTCTGATTGAAAGAGAGCATTAAATTGGTTAAAAATGGGCAACACGAATTTAAAAAACATTAAATACGCCTTAACAAATGGATTCTGTAACTCATTAAGTATTACATTTGCTACAGGATTTTTGTCTTCAATGGAAGCTAATCTAAATAGGCTAAGCAAGATGTCCCACTGATCCAAAACTCTATCAACACATTTGGATAAAGCAAGCCACCTTGTTTTACTAGGGCTTAAAATTTTTAATTTTGACTTATAATATTCCTGTAATTCTTCAAGAACACACTGCCTTTTTGGGCTTCTTGAGAAGTAAAAATATAAGTTTTGTAAAAGAGCTGCAACGTTGCTTGGAATCTTTTCAGCTGCCGCCACCGCCACTAAATGAGTGCAGCCATTGGCAATTATATTAGGATTATCTTTTAAAATATAAGTTTTGAAAGATTCGTTATTGCCCATCATAACACTAGCGTTGTCGGAACAGTATCCAACAATATTGGTATTTTTTACTTGATTCGATATAACGCATTTTTTAAAAAGAGAATATACCTAAACCTTTGGCGGTACCTTCATCTGCGTTTATTTTAATTATATCTAATAAATGGGTTTTAATTGAATTTTTATGAATATACCTTACAAGAATGCATAGTAGTCTTGTATTGCTCAGGTCTATACTCTCATCCAATAAAATAGAAAATGGTTTATTTTCCAATTCTGAAATTATTTCGTCTTTAATAACAGGAGCCAGCACATTTTTAATTATACTTATGCATTTGGATCTTTTTAATTTAAGTGAGCTAGAGAGATCTGGGTCTTTAAAACATAATTGACTAACTCCTGTTATATGATCAACAGTTCTAAAACTTATATAATGACTTACAACTAAAAGACTATATCTTAAGCAATCAAATATTTGCCGTTTTTCCAACTCACGTGCTTCCCGAGACTGAAAAGTGCTAACGTTCTTACATTCGAAATTGCTTGTACATTAGTGGCATGCCTTTTTGATTTCGAATGACTCACTGAATCTGATTTTTTAGCACCCATTATTTGATTACAAGCTTTACATTTTGCTTTCAACTTGTCATTTTCAATAGGTCCCAACCAGCCTTTAAATAACGGATCTTCTAGCCATGATGAAGTAAACGTTTGTTTTCATGTCTTTTTCTTAACAGGTTGCTCTGGCTCTTGGTTATCCTGAGATTCGCAAGTCGAATTATCAGGCTTAGACCTGATTCCACTAGGTTCCGCTCTTCTATTTTGTCTGTATTCAGGTTCGGGATGCTCCGAGTCCGACACAGATGCAGTCGAAGAGGATGGTACGGCCACGATTGGTTTCACCGTTTGTTTTTTAGAAGGATTTTTATCAAAAAAATCGTTAATGGTCTGCTGTCGCCTTTCCATTATTCCTATTTTCCAGAAGAAAAAGCGTTAAAAACAAATTTCGTGACTAAGATTTATTTCTGGGTCAAACTATAATATGTTAGATATTTAAGCAGTTTTGTTACTTACCAGTAGATTTAATATTAAAATCTGCAGCAAATGATATATCAATAAAATGATCAACACAAAAATAAGAACACTAATATAAACGAAACTAAACAGTATATACCCAGAGCTGAAAAATACAATACTAAGCGAGAAACCTAATATTATGTCTGCTGAGACCTGTAAAGGTGCATTTAAATTAGAGCGAACACGAGCGAACGAACGAATTTGTTCGTTAAGATCAGTGTATTTAAACAGCGAATGGAACACACCCGAACGAATTCGTTCGTGTTCGGACATGTTCCAGCGCGTGTCGGTAAACTAGCGAATCATCAAAGGATGTTCGCGCTCAATGTAAACGACGTTTCTTGTACTTGCGAACACACGCGAATAAATTCGGCCTACTAAACGTGTACTGTTTAACTACTTTGTGTGTGGTTACGTCTTGCAAAACATGGAATGGACAAATGATAAAACTTTACAACTCATTGAGTTATATAGAACCAAAGAATGTTTAAACTCGAATAGCAATCTCCTGTTGCCAAAAAACGGAGCGTTAGTAATAACTTCTCTTTTGGTAATATTGCCTTTTTGAATGTAGTGTCCGTTTTTTAAATGATTGGACCAATCAAATTTAGCAAATATTCCAAATCAGATGTAGACATTCTGCAAAAGTTATTCAATTGTCCCAGATTATCGCTTGTAAGGTCTGTTATTCCTCCTGCAGTGTCTCTTTTTTTCAGTAAATTTGAAGACCATTCCCTCTTTTTTCTTTTTTTCTTCGTCAAACCTGCCATAACAATAAAACTAGCACTAATAATTATATCGTCAACAGAGTCCGACATGGAGTTCGAAAACAGAACAACGGAACATCCGCGAATGCAAATATTCGTACATATAAAAATGCCTCAAACAGGTAGCGAGCTAACGAACGAACGAACAAGACCAAATTCGTTCCTTCGTTCCTTCGCTCGTGTTCGCTCTAATTTAAATGCACCTTTAGAAACGATTAGTATTGAAAGCAGTACGTACGCCATCTGTTATTGAAAAAAAAGGCAAGTGGAATAATTCTCTTCTCTGTTCCTAGATGGCTCAAGCGGCACCAAATGCACCAATTTTTTTATTAATGTGATAATAAATCAGACTCTAGCAACTGCCTATTTAGGATTTAGAACGTTAATAACGTTAAAACAGTGAAATAAATATGATAGTTTTGTATGTAATAAATTCCGCTACATTTTGGGCTAATTTGCTCTACCGCCGCTACGCCGCTCTTCTCAAAATAATCCGCTACAAATAGCGGAATTCCGCTACGTATGGCAACACTGGGGTGGAGGAAGCTATTATATAGTGAAATTCATAAATGACAATAGAAAACTGTTTTACCGACAGAGAGAAACGCGAATTTGTCTATATTTTTAAAAGTCTTCTGTTCAATATCATACCAGACGTAATTTTTACACAAAAATGTCATTTTCTAAAAAAATATTTCACAGGAAAATGACATATTTGTTAAAAATATGACGCTGAATAAAATGTATAAACATCTAAAGAAGTAATAAACGGACAAGGTAACAAAGACGAGCACTGCCACTTTTGACTCATTTTATTTTACATAAAGCAATTTAAAAGTATAAAAAAGAAGTGTAGCATATAATACATCTTGATAAAATACTATAACGAATATAAATATTAGAACAAAAGTTTTCGAAATTACTTAAATAAATAACGTACTTGTATGGACGCTGAACTGTCCCTGATAGGCAAGATCGCTCTTGGGAAAACGATGTCTTTTACTGTGTCTGTTGACACAGTTCGGAACACAGCACTTCTTTGGTTTTTAGGCTGGCACGTAATCCTCCATTATGGGGAAAATTATACGATACAAAACTAATCCAAATCCAATGTATAACACCAATAAATCGCTAAAAAATCTAGCGCAAAAAATCGCAAACTGATGAATGATGCACAATGATAGCGGATGGCGCCTTGATCGACTTGATGAAAAAGTTTATCTTTCAAATTCCCGATGATACAGCGCCCTCTGTCGGTGGCGATTTGAAATAAAAGTGACTTGAGCGCCAGAGTGTGTGCGATCCACACTAAAGGGGAGCAAAACATTTCTTGGCGGTAACAGCTTAGTAACGTATTTGTGGAACGAACTGAACTGTCGGCCTACTAAACAATCGTCGGCCGATAGTTGGCCGACAGAGTAGTTAGAAGACAGTCGGGAAGCACATTAAACTTTTCTATCGGACGATACTGAATCTTTGTAATGTACGCATATGCATACCTCTCCATACTGATTAAGAAGCCGACCAAATTATCGGCCGATAGAAAGTCTGCAGTCTGGGGGGCCATTAGCGCATAGTGCCGTAGAATGATAGAGCTCTTTATTTTTCCAAATACATATACAATCTGAACAACTCGAAGATTATACTTTGCCATCAATCTATCAACGATTTTCGAAACGAGACCGCTTCGTTTATGATATACAAGATAATGATTGATGCAGGAGAGAAGTGATGCACACAAAACCATCAAGTCACTTGACAGAGTCGCAGTTGGCAAAAGAACGAAAAATGCTTTTCCCTAAAGTAAAATTAGATTAGATTTGACTTCTACTCATCAGGGTAGGTCGGGGACTTTTGCCAAAAAATGACTGAGGTTCTAACTGTCAGAAAAGCGAATCTCATTGACAAAAAATGCCAAAGATAGATTATGCGTTAGATACATATACCAGGGAACATACAGTATTGTTCGTAGAATTTTGTTTTGTATCACTTGAAATTTTGTAATGTGCGTCTTGGCAGCAAAGCACCAAGCTGCACATGTGTAAGTCATGGTTGGACGTACAGGTAGGTATACCTAATCGATTTGTATAATATTAGTTTATTAATCAAGCTCAGTTTTGTAGTACCCTTGAGCATGGGGTATAATACATTTTCAAATATCATCATAGCCTTTGTTCTAATCGATTCTACATGAGATTTCCAAGTTAGACTTGCGTCGATTGCTGGTCATGAATATTTTGCTCGATATACCCATGGAATTCTTTGGTTACAAATAATTATTCCGGCTGGTAATGATTTTCGTCTTTTAGTGAGTAAAATTGCCTGAGTTTTCCCAGCATTCAATCTAATTCTCCAACTTCAGCTGGGCCACAGCCTATTGCAGTCTATTTAAAGCAGGGTTTCCCGACTTTTTTTTTGTTGAGGCTCCCCGGACTATAAATTATACATCTCCGCCGATGTAACTAACATCAACTATTAACTGTGCACAATTAACGATGTCGGTTACTTTGTTAATTATTTGTGACTTTATGTCTGCTGCAAAGTCATCGATTTTTGCTCTGCATCTCCTAAAATTATCTGCGTGGCTTTTAGGACACATGGTTTTATTAATTCTTCACCCATAGTATGAGGTTTCTTTTGCTTTGCTATCATAAAAGCTGTTTCAAATAAAGCTTTGGGATGCTGCGATACACCTGTGTGATAACTCCCCGATTTATCCAGTCTCATCCGCTTGAGTGATTCTGCTTTAGAAGAAAAAACTCTTTCGTACTCAAAACCAGAGTAGGATGTTGTTGCTTCAAATGCCTTTCAAGGCGATTGGGCCTCATGCTATCATTACTTAAAAATTTCATACATATCACACACTGAGGCAATTGTAACTCGTCTTTTTCGATGAAGGTAAATCCAAACTTAACGTAATATTCGGAAAACTTTATTTTTTTCGCTGCCATTTGGCACCTAGGTCTATAACAATAAAACAAATAAGTAATAAAAAAATAAGCAAAATACCTACATGTAATTAATAACTATATGTCCATTATTTTATCTTAATAACGTAATGTCTTCAACAGTATATTGGTCCCAGGGAGATTTATATTTTTGTAGGCAGGTTGAGGTTATAATAGTAATTTTAAATACATTATTTGGAATCAGTATTAGGTACTTAAAGTTCGTCGTTTCAAAATTATTCCACCACGTTGGTTTGATTGTGATGTGGTAGAAAAGTACCAATGGCCGATATATGAATGCGTCTCCACTCAATGAACAACTTAGTAAATTAAATAAAAATGGTAACTGAAGTTTGTAAATACACAAACTTGCCTTTTAACAGTGAGACAATAATTTGACACACTCAAACAGATTTCTTAACAAAACATGTATATCGAAACGTAAAATTTTTCGCAAGTTTGTAGGAATGAATGTCACAGATGCTCATCCGCGTCTGGTAGGTACACAATTGTTTTCTAAGTACGGTTGACAGAATAAGTGAATACGATATTTGATTTCTAATTTTATGCCTGTAAATTAAACATTACGTTGTAATGTTATTTGTTAATGTTGTTTATTTTTTTGTTTCTTATTTCTAAAATGCAAACGCTTTAGCCCCCCTTGACATTTCTCTATCCCCCTCTGGGAGCTCTGTTACCTGGGTGGTCAGGCAGTCTATTTTACTGTTTTGGTCCTTAACCGTCTCAGTCAGTTCCTTTATTTGCTGGGCCTGGCTTTCGATGATCAGGCTCAGGTGCTGGATCGTAATTTCTGGTCTCTCCTTCTGGCTGAGTCAATTCATCATCAGGGACGGTGGGGGATGATTGCTTTGATCTCCAGAGTCTATCCCAATGTCTTTAAATCAGTTTTCCTTAAAAACTTTTACGAGCAAAGATATATGAGGTTTTGTCAATTATCCCTTATACAGGGCGATTTTTTCCAATTTATTATTCCAATAATTCCCACCACAGAGATATGGGGAGGGGAATATAGCCATTTAGTGGCCGAAATGCTTTCTTCACTACTTGCGATGCGTCGTTTACACGAGATTGCGTGCTCATGTCTAATTCTATAAACTTCAACATGACGGTGCAGAAACCCCCAGATGCTTCACTCGTGAAATGGAAAATTGGAAAACTGGGAAAACAAAAGGAATGCATGCATGTTTATTGTCTGAAAAATGAAAGGAAAATCTTGGGATTTGTCGGGTACGGCAACAGAACACTGAAATCCATGGTCTTCGTGACTACATTTAATTCTTCTCCAGCCCTAGTAACATTGAGAAAATTTTAGCTCGCTGCTAAATGTCAGACAAATATTTTCCGGAAGAAGTTAAAGTTTGATAGCAGAAAATTCTGCGATCTTGACAAACCTTTTTTCGTAAGTGCTTGAACCTACTCTAAATTAGCAGTAAAAGTTATGTGATTATTTCATTCGCCTCATGTCCCAGAACTGATTGCGATTTATAGGATATATGTAAAACCCCATAAAGGTACCACGCCTTTTTTTGGTTAATTAATAAAACACAATGATAAATACTATCTAACGGTTGGTCCAAGCAAAGCAGTTGTCTAGTGGCGTGCAAATTTAGGCCCTAGCTCAACAAAGCGGTGAGTGGGGGGGGGGGTTAAGAGCGCCAGTGACTTAGGACGGATTAAGCCACAACTCCCCAAGATTTTAGTCGGAACTTGTTTTGCTTGACCACCACACAAAAGGAGAATCTAACAGAGATGACGAAATTTAAGTAACAGTACACACAGTGAGAGCCAAATAAAACAAGATATTAAATGAATCACAATATATTGATTAATAAAAAAACGCACATGTGCTCCACTACTGGAGTGTGAGTAATAAAAGAAAAGAAAGGATGTTATAAATCTTAAATACAACCTGACAAAATTATTTTTCGAGATAACCCCGCGAAACGTCTACGATGGTATACGCCAGAAATATTTACAGATATTTTGCGCCGAAATATTAAACTTATCTGTAGGTCTTCTTTGTCAGGCGCGTCCGAGTTGTCCTCAACTCTGGTCAAAAAGTGGCCAGTAGTGGGCACGTCACTGGGCAGGGGCTGCTTGCCCCGCTGCCAAAAATTATGGTAGTAAAAAAAACCCTAGAGAGAGAAAGACTGTCTAAAAATCTACTCTACTCTTTGTCTGAGCTAAAACTACTCATTGAAAAGTAAAGGCAAAAAAAAGGAATGTACTAAACTAATATTCCATTGTTCTAAAAAGTTATGGCAGCTCAAAAATCAAAATCATGATCAATGTAACAGAAGATGCCATGTAGGCACTACCCCCATATTTGAATACGTAGAATGTCCAATAAAATCAAAAAGTCTCTAAGAATTTCAATAAGCAATAATAAATGTATAAAGATCTATGAAATTGTTAATTAGAATGATATTTTACCTGTTCACATCAGGTTTTTTTTCCAAGGGGATGGCTACCACCAATTTGCAAAACTGCAACAAGATGCAACCAACTGGAGGAGAAAGGATGATGATTCTCTTCTGTTTCTATTGACTAAAAGAAAGCAGATATTGAACGAACGTCATCAGGACACGCATTAAGGTACGTGGTCCGAAGGTATATAAAAAAGAACTTACCGCTGAGGGTCAAAATCCCATAAAAAAATGGAAGACCCAAACCAAAATGACTAAACTTGAGTTACACAAAAAAAGGGTGCTAGTCCATGAATTGGCGCTTGGGGCCTAATATTTCAGAGTCCGGAAAATGACGAAATGACCCCTGCACCACGACCTCAACGGAAACAGAAAATCGAGTCACGCAGAACACCATACTCAATCGCTGAGAAAGAAAGATATAATACGAGTGAAATTATACAATCAATAAACTATTAAATTTGCCAAAAGAAAATCATTGAAAAGGGTTTGGCCTGGAAATGGGCACTCTATTATCAATGAAGAGAAATTTAAATTACGGATAAGTGATAAATAGTAAAAAAAAGGCTACGTGATTTTGGCACGTGACAAATGCCACAAGTTTTTATAAAAAAAATGATAGATCTAATGATTTTTGGACGATTTCTTGTAAATTGTCCCTCAAACTGGAGAAAAACTATTCGATTTGTATGAGATGGGCTCCCAATTCTCTTATTAAATAATGGAATAAGGAATCATTACAATAATATTTTTCATAGTTTAGAATAGTGTGCGGAGGGTTATATACTACCCCAAGCAGCACGCTTAAACTACTTATGTTTCCTTTGATCCACAAACTTTCTACCACAAGAAAAAATGTAGGGTAGGGGAATGGTTTATGTTTTAATTTTTGTTAAATTTGATATTAGAGTATGTGCAATTGCAACATATGGAGCTAACTCGTTCACATGAGGAGGCATCATGCTCTTCACCACACTTTATACATGTTTTGCGGTTCTTACACTTCTTATTAGAATGACTGAATTTGAAGCAATCTCCGCATTGTGTGATATCATTATTTCTATAAACACTTAAATTCTGAAAACCAATAAAAATTTGGTTAATGCAACCAAATATTTGTTTGAATAAATTACCTGACACTTCTGCATAGATTGTAAAAATCCTTTTTAGCGAATTGTAACTGACAAAAGTAACTTTAATATCTTATTCCGAAATAAAATGGTTCTGACGTATGGTCTCATCTTGGATTTCTTATTCATTGATCTTCTTGTCACAGCGGTATCGGGCATTTTTAATCTTCGGGTTGAACATTTTCGGTTCGCTAATTTTATATGACGATGGCAAGTTCTTGGCAATCTCTTTCAATTTTCGGTGGGGGCAATCCTCTACATCCATTTCGATCCCGCCATTCTTGGAATTTTTAATATGTTCGACTTTTACTTTGAAACCCGATAGATTCAAATTTCTACTTGAATCTCTTCTTACTAGGCAACTAGCTGTTAATCAGGAGTTATGAGTTGAAGCGTTTATCACTGACTCCTATCGTTGGAGTTTTGAATGCAACTTGAGCCTAGGATGAATGTTTGTGTATATTTGTCTTTTGAATATCTTCGATTGCTTTGTGTATTTTCAAGAGAGTATCAACAATAGCGTCTCGATCAAAGATACTACTTGTAACTAAATCCAGTTGTTCTTTGTATCCTGCGATTTTCGTTGCATGACTGGTAAATCAATCTGCCCTTTTCCATGAAAATTGTGTCATATAGTTCTAGTTTATCTTTTTGCAATACTTCTTGTAAGATCACTTACGACTTTTAGGTGCTCACTTTTTCCGATCGAGTTTGTACTCACATTTTTATTCATTTCTTCGGTCAGTCTCTTTCTTCTTTTTCGTCCTTGAACACCCGGTGGACTATAAAATTCAACGGAAGCTTTTTGGCTTGTTCGTACAGCCTGTTTGCTGACAATCAGCAAACTGATAGTCGGCGACAAGTCATGACCTAGTTTGCGCAGTTAGCTGTCACTGACACTACTATTCGTCATTATTCGTCAGAGCGGTCCGGTGGACCTTTGCTCTTAGTTAAAAGTCTCGTCGGTCTGTTAGTCTGTCAGGTCTGGCTACCCAGATACCAAACATGTTTAAGGGGAAAAGGGAAAGAAGGAAAGAAAGGAAGGAAGAAATAGAGCAAAGAAAAGAAGTAAATCATTTGAAATAGCTTTAGCATTATTGCTTTGACTACTCGAATTATTCTGTAACTCCAAAAAATAATTTTTATTGGTTTTGTATACTGAAATAATTTTGGCTGGTCTGAATTTACAATTTAATTTTGATCACAGTGGGAGGCGCGGCCTGGAATGTTTGCGAACTTGCTCGACTGTGTAGTCTACTGAATCACGCAACAGAGGGTTGCTGTGCGATTCCGCTTGATTAAAACGCCACTGCTCCTGTTGTTTTACGTAATCCCTTAAATATAGGATATCAAGATCTCTGTGAATAGTCTCATTTGACACGTACCAAGGGGCGTTAGTAATTGTGCGTAAGGTTCTGTTTTGCAGGACTTGCAGTCTCTGCTTGTGCGTCTTGGCAAGAAAACACCAAGCCGCGCATGCGTAGGTGATTTTGGGTCTTTGACCATTTTATACAACCGAATCTTGTTGATCAAACTTAATTTTGAATTTCTACACAACTGAGGATAAAGTTGCCGAAAGGTAATTTGGAATTTTGT